TGTCTGGATCTCGCATCGCATCTTGTCACCTGAGTCCCACTGCATCCCAACCCATCATGCATTACCTGTGTGCAAGTCCAGTCTGGTTCCACTCTCTTCCTCCCCAGACTAAAGGCAAACTGTACCTATGTACCTACCCATTTCTGACATCAGATGCCTTTCAGGGAAAGTTTACTAAGTGACTAAATAAACGCACCATGGTTACTCAGTTGGTTTTTGCTAGCAGACTCTTGGTCACGTTTTATACATTTCCGTTTTGTTTCTGAGCCCAAGAGGTAGCCCGGCTAACATAAATAGCATGCTAATTCCTGAAACTCAATTGCTTAGGCTCAAATCTTAGTTGCTCCATTTGCTAGCTGTATGTCTTTCCCAATATGCCTCAGTTTCTCCTCTTGAAGACCGGGATACTAAGGGCACCTCTTTGAGTACCCTATGGCCAGGGTTAAATGAGCAGCTGTACTAGAGTGCTTAGAAAATGCCTGGCACGTCGTGGGTTCCTTGTTCATGTTGACTGCCTTCTGAAACTTGCCTTGCCCTGAGGAAGACTGCAAAATGCATCCAAAGCAGTTTACCAAGGGCCTGGCATGCCTGCTTGACACTGGCAGCAGCATCTAAGGAAAAGAAGTTCTTCCTCCTCCTCATTGTCACATCATTGACGGTTTGAGGGTGCCCAGGGTAAATCTCCAGCTCCAAGAGCCAGGGACACTGCATTACCCACCTTCTTCCAGCCTCGGGCTCAGCAGTGGCTTCTTCAGGTGGCTACGTGAGAGTGCCAGGGACAGCACATTTACCACAGAGGGGTTAGCTCCACAGTGCCTCAAGGACCGGAAAGCACCAGGGCAAAAGAGGAAGGACCCCAAGGTGTATTTTCCTCTATTTCCTCACTAGAGCCTATCGTGCCAGCTTTTGAGGCAGCTTCTGAGAGTCATTGTTCAGACAGGAGTGGAGCCTACGACCTCAAGGAGCTCATCTAGTTTGTTTTTAAAACTATGTATGTATGTGTGCATGCATGCATGCATATATATATATATATGTATGTATGTATATTTTCATTTGTGTGCACATGGGTGTGAAGTTCAAGGAACATTTTTCAGTAGTGTGTTCTCTCCTTCCACCATGTGGGTCCTGATGTCACCATGTGGGAACTTATGTCACCAGGCTTGGCAGCAAGGACCTTTACCTGCTGAGGCAACTTAGAGGCTCTAGTCCTATATTTTGTTATGGGAAGCCATGTCCTGCCTGATCGCACATTAGTAAGGACTTCTCTTCTCTTCCTAGGTCAGAGGCATACAGAAAGCTAAGAGAGAGAATCAGAGAAGCCATTTAGATGTAATATGTGCACATGGCTGGCTGTAGGTCACCAGGGATGCTGTATGAAGGTCACCTGAACCCCGGGAAATGAAGGAACTGGACAGGAGACCTGGTGTTGGCCAGCCTTTCTGCAAGGCAGGCTGAAGAGACGGCAAAGTGTGAAGGTGACCCCTAGGTGGTGCTATCGGTGTGACGAAATCATGAGTGGAACTATGAGCTTGTCTGCAGGAGAGCTGGCAAACGTCTGCGAGAGAAGAGAATCAAGAGTCCTCATCTAAATATGTTGCAGCCATCTAGTGAGACTTGGGGTGGGAGTGGAGACTGGCTTCGGAAACATGCAGGACTGTGCAAGGGGAGATACTAGGAGAGAAGGAGGCAAAGTCAAGACTATATGGCTGTCTGCCTTCTAGTCACCTCTTCTATTCAACTCACAGTCCCTCTGCTGCCGCCCTCTCGAGATGCTGTCCCCAGCATGCCTTGGTCCCTTTGCTCCACCACGTCTTCCACCTGAAATACCCCTTTTCATTCCTCTCTCTCTCTCTCTCCTTCTCTCTCTTCCCCTCTCTCTTTGAGACAGGGTTTCTCTGTGTAGTTTTGGTGCCTGTCCAGGAACTCACTCTGTAGATCAGGCTGGCCTTGAACTCACAGAGATCTACCTGGTTCTGCCTCCCAAGTGCTGGGATTAAAGGCATGCGCCACCACTGCCCGGCTCCTTTCTCTTTTGACTCAGTCAAGGTGTCACTTTCTCCTGGAAGCCGCCCATGTTCTCACCCCCAAAGGAAGAACTGGCTTATAGCTTCTTTCTAACTCATTTTCCTCACACCTCCTCCTAGCACATTTGTAGACTCAGGTGTTTATCATCAAGTGAGGGTTTTCTGGGTTCGCTTGATTCGAAGATCTTGGGTGATTTCAATCACAACCCAACATATGCGAGAACTTTCCCACCCACACAGCATAGCCACTCCTTTGGAAATCCAGTGCCCACTTTGTATCGGGGGTCTTGAGAATGTCCTAGAATGCTGAGAGATTATCAACACTGGATAAGCAATGTGGACATGACAGGTCACATGGCTCGTATAACCCAGCATAAGATGAAAATAGAGGGTCCTCCCCCATTACAAAAAGAAAAAGAAGAAGGAATTCAAGATGGCGACAGCAAGACACTGAACTAAGAGCGGAGTCCTAAGCAGGAGCCCTGTAGGCTTGCACTGGCCACACCCATGTGGCCTCCTCCAAGTGCAGGAGTGCAATACCATCTCGGGAGAGCCTGTATCTGCTGATGGGAACTTGAGAGGTGGTTGTCCGTCTCCCGGTTTCTTCAGCGCATGAAGCCCTTCACATGGGAAATTCCTTGGTTCCCCAACTTTAATACTAAGAGAGTTAGGTAATCCTGGATTCATATTCTGATTCCAGCATTAGACACAAATCATGACCCTACAGCTCCTCTGTAGCACCACCTATTGCCTACGGATGTGGGTTCAATAAAGATGGATGCCTACTCTGTCTACTGAGACCTCACCATCAAGACATACTACTTGTATGACCCAGAAGTATCTGGTCAGGGAGACTGAGGCAGACATTGGGCCTAAGAGTTGAGTAACACTTGCTCAGTGGGGATCATCTGCTGTGTGCTTTTGGAACACAACAGGGACAGGTACGGAATGAAGGGGAGAAGTCCAGAGACCCAGGGGAGGCTGTACAGAGTCACAGAGATGTGCGCACCATTTATCTAACAGATCTCCGGTGCTTCCTGTGCCCGTTGCCAGGGTAAACTGGGAGTGAAACCAGATGGAGTCCTGCCACTGTTGCCTCAATGCAGCCTGTCCTGCTGTCTTGGCTGCACTCATTATGAACCAATGGACATGTATCAGGACACAGGACTCTACCAGCCTCTCTGGATGAAATGAATGAAGGCCGTGTGTGTTCATTCTCCACAGCCAACACTGCCGAGTCTTCATGAGCTGCCCTAGCAACTTCCTGTTAAGGGTATAGAGAGCCAGAAGCAAGTGGCTCTCCAGGGCAGCTGTGACTGATAACTTCACACTGGAGAGGCTGGACCCTTGAGACAAAGAGAGCCCGACCTTAGGCTGATGGGGAGCTGGATTCCTGTTTGGGGCACTGGGAACACTCAGATTAGATTCAATCTCAATCGACTAAGGGAAACTTTCTCTCTCCCAGCGTGGCCCCGTCTTGAACAGCTCAGGTCAGGCTAAGGTGATGGACTGGGAGAACCTTCTGAGAGCGGGATTTGTCTCAGCGTGGTTTTGAGAATTTATTTCAGCTGGGTGTGAAGACTGTGCTCGAAAGACCGGCGGGTGTGAAGGTCTGGGTGCTTGACTGGGTGCTTGACTGGGTGCTGACTGGGGGGTGCTGTCTGAGTTCTCAGGCAGCCTACTGTGGCACATGGGAAGGGAGGGTGGCACAGAGGCCTAGCGCAGCTGCCCTACTGGGAGAAAGGGGAGATTTTGCTGACTCGGGGCATCTGAAGTGCCACACATGTTAGGCAGTTTATTATGCACATGGCGTCAAGGGTAGTGTAGTCACCCACAGTTCTCCAAGGAGCAACACCGGGGGCCTATTGGAGATGCGCATTCCGGGGCGACACCCAGGCCTGCTTACTCAGTAATCCAGGGGCGAGAGGAGGTGCTATGCTTTCATAAACTGCAAGACAAAGTTTGCGAAGCACTGGGGTAGTGTGAAGAGTGCCCAGCTTTGGACAGCAGTTAAGGCAGGGGGGCTGGGGTGCCTGGACCGGGCTGGGGAGAGGGCGTTTCTGGTGCTCGGAGCAATGCACTGCTTTACGTACTTCCTTTTCTAAGTGATCCGAGAAGTAACCACCCACGAGGTGTGTGCCCCCACCTCTCATGTAATTAAGTGACCCACCAAAGGTCAGCTCACAGCACGGGAGTCCCCTCTATGCCAATCGGACTCACAGTGGAAGGTCTTCACTGTGGCTGTTGCCTGCCGCTCTGCAGCGGAGCGGCCATCCGGCCTGGGTGGAGGGAAGGGGCCTCTAGCTTGAAGTTCCTTTCTCCAGAGCTTGGTGTGGGCCAACCCCAAGGCCAATGAGAGTGGCATGACATTCCTGGCCCCGAAGGCTGGTGATTTGAAGTTTCCTAAAGTTGGCCATGCACACCCGGGAGCAGGGCTCCCTAAATAACCCGCTTTCATCCCTGACTCTGAGGGCAACACAGCTTAAGTGTGAGATTAAATGAGAGAAGGACCCGTAGAACCATGTTAGACGGAAAAGAACCCAGTGAGGTAAACACACAGCTAAAGGAGGCTTTTTCCTCTCTCCCTAAGCTGTACCAAGAGATTATAATCACGTCTCAGTTGAACATGGACCTGTTCGTGTGTAAGGTGCAGTGTCCCTGTGGCAGGTCCTGTGTCTGGTGGACAGGGTCAGGTGTTCCTGCCCTTTGGAGTCTGTCTCTGAAGCCAGTGAACATAGGAACCAGGACAGGACATGGCCCGGGGGGTGGGGGGCAGTTTGGCACTATCTGAGGTGGGAGCTGCTTCTATATTCACCCCGTCTTTCAGTAAAGTGAGGTCTCGTGTTTTTTGTGGCCCTCTGGACATCGCTGTCCATGACAGGTAGGACCTGCTAAGGACTCCAGGGCTAAGGTGGGGTCTTCCTCCAGCCCTCCAGATAACTGCCACTGTCTCCCAATAAAGGCCACTGCACACCATTAAACACAAAATAGTCTTTTATTTGTCAACGAAGGCTACACGGGATCACTTCTGGTTTTCTTTTTATGCTTTTCCCCCCTTTTTTTCTAGAAGGTATCTACATCTGCATTTATTTACAGCCTTGTTGGTATTTACACAGTCAAGAATACAGTGTTAGAAACACAAAAGTGTTGAGAAAAAAACTTCTCAAAATTAGTTCCAGACTTCAGGAAAACATTTCCACATGGTAAGGCCAGAGTCTCCAGTGTCGGCCATCCAGAGGCAGCTCAGAATTGTCCCTTGCCAGAGCTGCGGGTTCAGAGGTCCTCAGAACAACGGGCACGTTTAGAACAGTGGGGTTCTGGTGGGTGAGTGGATCAGAGCTGCTGGGGACCCCCAGACATCTGTGGGTCTGCTTCTGCTGGGACAGCCGAGCCTGCCCATGGGCAGTCATCCCTGAAACATCTGCCCTTAGAATCAATCACATTTTTCTTAGGGACCAGGAAGTAGCCCAGTCTTATGCCTTTGGCATTCCCCAGAGGGTAAGAAACACAACACAGGGCCCCACCAAGGCCTCCCAAACATAACACAAGGTCCCCACCCCACGCCTTCCCGCCTTTGATCCTCCACTACACCCGGAAACCTCTGAGCGCACCACTGTTCAGGGCAGTCAAGTACACAAGGCTGGTTTTGAGAATGAAAGGTTGGAGAGGATAAAGTTTCTCTCTGTCACCTGAGCAATGAGTCTTTACAATGAGTTTGCTGTTTGGGGAAGGCGAAATAAAAAGGCCTTGAACTACAGAGTTCTTTTTCCGCTTCCTTCCCCTCCCACAAAATATAGACAATGGTTTTGACCTAGCTGAGGATGGCATATCTCCCATGGAGGGCTTTTCGTCCTGATGAAGACTCCAGGAGAAAGGGGAGGCTGGGTCTTTCTGGGACCCCATGGGAGGTGAGTCCCCCCACCCCCAGGATGGGGAGCCACCTCTTGGGCTAAGTGGCTGCTGTGAGGGGTGAAGAACATTCTCATCTTTGTGTGATGCGTCATCAAATCCCCCAAGTCCAGCACCCTGAAAGCCAGCAAGCTCCTCTTCCTGGGTACAAAACTCACTGTCATTGTTCCCACCGAGTGGCCACCAGAAATGCGAGGGCTGCCAATAGCAAAGCTGTTTTCTAAGATGTCACATTGAAAACCTTGTCTACAAAGGCAGCAACTTAGAAGTCACAGCTGAGAGGCCCCTTGTTCTTCCTCCCTTGCTCTGTGTCTGTGAAGCCCTGCCCAGTTAACTCAGCTCTTACGCTGCTGCTCCATTATCTGCTCCCTGCCCCCATCCCATCCCTGTTATTTGCAGGCACTTGTCCAGCCTCAGTCTCCCATTAGCTTCCTAGCGTTTCTTTTAAATCTTGCATCCCTCCGTTGAGTCAGGCACTGGTGTGGACCTTCAGCTAATTCTCCACCAGCGATTCTGAGCCAAGTGTCAGAGGCTAAGGAGTGGTTTACCGTGGGGTCGATATCACCTCTGTACCCTCTAGTGATGCTCGTCTGGGAGAGGATTGTAAAGGGGTGGTGGGTCTCAGGGTATAGAAGACAAAATTGGGACTTGATAAGGTCTTGGTTAAGGTCATGAAGGAGGGGCTGAGGCTGAGGGGCTGATTGGCAGTTATGGAGGGTGGAGGAGGCAGGAACTACTTGAAACGAACCTTAGCGGTTCAGAAGCTACCACCCTTCAGAATCGCAAACATCGACCAGTGAGGAAGACCTGGTTACTCTGTCAAGTGGATAGATGTAGTTAGTGCCCAAAAGACAGGTGCTGTCCAGGATGACATTTAATACTCAAAGCCTTCTACATAGGCAAAAGAAACTGTGGCTTATGCCTTCAAACCCACCTGGGAGGTGGAATCCAAACTTAAAGGGCCAAGGTCAGAGTACCCATTCAGAGAGGACAGTATCAGCATAAGGTAGAGCCACATGGTGCTGTCTAGCCCGCAGCTGAGGTCCTTTATAGCTCAGGGAAGCTTGCTTGTCTCCCCTGTAGGATCTAGGTACTCTTTCTGGGATGGAGCCCAGGAAGAATATTGGGTCATTCCTTTAAAAAAAAAGAACACCCAATAATTCATTGTGTTTACTAATCCCTAAAAATCTATTCTTTGAGGAGAAAGGTAGTGGAGGAGGAAGACACAGGCTGGACAGGTACAAGGAGATGGTCACATGTGGTCTCTGGGTTACAAGTAAATGTCCTCAGCACATCTCAGCCAACGTCAGGCAGCCAGCACGGGCTAGATCAAGGAGGCCAACTCACAGAACAACTCTGCCCAAAGGACCCTCATGGCAAAAGGACATTTTGAGAGACATACCTCTTTTGGATACAAAAAGAATTATGTTTTTCAGGTCAAACTGTTTCCTGTTCCATCCAAGAACAATCGTGCCAGAAGGGAGTCCCCATTACCAGCTCATGCTGGGTACAGTGGGCCTGAGAGGCCATCAGATCTGACCCAGCAGAGCTCTGATTCAGAAGCAATGAGCATCCAGTGGGTGAAGCGGGCCGTGACACACTGTTGCAGCAGTGTGACATATTATTTTTGGAATCAGGAAGAGCACTTAGCGAAGACACATCCTCTAATCCCAGTGGGACAACATAAGGCGAGATGTCCCCTCCCCAAGAAGTGTTGGACACCTCCCTCTGCCAGGCAGAACCCAGACTCCACATCGCTCCAATTCTCATGCAGTAAGAGACCTTCTTGGTTTCATTAACTCATGTCGTATTCTGAAGACTCTGTAAGGCTATAAAGGTGCCATGAGCTTATCAGTCCAACAAGGTTTCCACGGGGAATAGCTTAGACTCAGAATTCATTTTCCACACTTAATGCAAATGTAACCCATAAAAGTCCTATTTTCTAAGAAGCCCGGCTCAAAAGGAAGCATTTGGCTTCCCCCCTGTCTCCCAGAGCCTCCTGTGAGTGCTAATGACAATGGTTTCTAGGCAGACAAACCAGGAAAGGAATCCTCCAGTGAGCTCCCAGCTCTTGCTGTGACACTCTTCTGCACTCAGACCTCCCCTGGCCCGCTGGCTGCTGCCTTCCTCGGGGCAGCCCCCCAGCATGGGCTGCACCTGTGCCTAGCCTCATCCGGATGATGTGTGCATATGTGCAGAGGTCTTCACAGGAACAAAGCTAGCCTGGCCTTCTGGATCCACGGGCACCAGCCTCTGGCGCCACCATCCCTGATCCCAGTGGGGTTGAATGACCCTGATAGGCCATACCAAAAGAGCTCTTTCCTCTTATTTCAAAACAAAACCCCAAACAATCCTGGCTGGGGTTCTCCAGTGAAGAACTCCACAGAAGGGACTTCCTGAAAGTCCAGGCTCTGGAACTCCAGAGCCTCTGGGAATAGTCTGTAGAGGGAGGCAGAAGAAACGCCAGGAGCTGGTTACAAGGATCCCTGGCTCACGCTTTTGCTGACTCCTTTCTTTGGCTGGTTTGTTTCTCACGCATCTTTCCGGGATCAAACGCCATCAGGCATCTCTTGCCACACTCCAGATTCTCAGTGGTGGCAGCTGAGTACTGGAGGGATAATAACCCAAAGCCATGGGGACAGGGCTTCCTTGTTCCCTGGACTTGGAGGGCCTGCTGTGCAGTGCTGGGTCTCACATCTGACTTTGGGGAGAGAGGAGGAGATGAGCGAGGGACATCATGGAAGGTCAACCACTCACAGACATCCTGGTGCTTTCGCCCCTTGGAAAGGATGGGGCTCCAAGCCCAGGATGTTACGTCACCAGACTGGGGAAAGGACCTAGGAGACACTTTCTCTACTTCATTATGGGGTTGGGGCTGGCACTGACAGCTACACTAGAGATTTGCAAAAGGGAGGGGGGGGCTTCATTTAGCATCAAAATATAAAGCTCGGGCAGGAGTTTGGGGTGGCTTGAAAAGGTGCTCAACATCATCACGGAATTTTCCAGAGCATGATGTAGGTCCTCAGGAGGCACAAAACATGGTGAAGAGAAACTCACCACTCTCTGTGGGAGCCTGACCAAAGCTCCCCGAGGCCCCGCAAGGCCCCGTTCCTCTCTGCACCCGTCACCCCCACCCGACCCCAGTCTAAGAAGAAAGGGCTACACATGGGACAAGTTAGACACTCATGTCTCACATCACACGGGGGACCTAGGGATGGATGAGGACACACCCAAGGGGATGTGTACCCCAAAGAGAGGAGAAATGTACCCCAAACAACAGGGAAAATTCCTCAAGGAAAAAAGGGAACAAAAGAAAATAGTTATCATTGTGGTCACACTACAGGAAAAAAAAACCAAAACTTCCATTTTTTGCAAAAAAAAAAAAAAAAGTATGAAGGCCAAATTAGTGTTTTTCTTAAAAAAAAAAAAAAGGATGTTGCACAAATTAACAATGCAACCAATATCTTTCTGTTTTGTTTTCTGCACTTGTTAAAAAAAAGTTTTTGTTTTTTTGTTAAGTACAACACAGTCAGGTACACGGACACAGAAGAGTGGCTGTCTTTGGCAAGAAGTCCAGGCCTTGGCCCTCTCTGTCACCTTCGGCCCATCTCGCTCTGTCTCATGAAGTGGATGTTGTTGGCGCTGTCCGACAGTTCTGGGTACTGCTCAACGGAGGTCACAAAGAAGCCGTCGTAGCCTTGCACCCGCCCTGTGTTCAGCACCTGCTGCCTCTCCCCCTCTGTCCAGGCCCGGAGGCCTTCCTCCCCTTCCCGCAGTCTTTGCTGCTCCCGGGCCCAAGCCTGGCGGACAGCTCTCTGCCTGGCCAGCTCCAGCACCCGTGCCTTCTCCTCATCCACGGTTGTCCCATAGCGGGTGTTCAGGCACAGCGCCCTGTACTGCAGCTGGATGTCTGTGTACCGTCTAGTCCTGCCACTGAGCATCGTGTTGATCTGGGACACAGTGACGTTGACCCCGTTCTCCAGGGTTCGCCGCCCCCCACTGAGGCCCAGGATGGCCAGGTCACCTTCAGAAGGTCCTGGTTTCACAAAGTAATGGGTATCCACCCCATCAATGGTGAAGTGAAGGTTCTCTAGATAGTGGGCATTGTTCAAGATGGCCGCAATCCTCCGCCCATCCTCATTGGCCACACTGATGATGTCTGTGGTCACTCGACCATCTTTCAAGGCAAACTTGACCCCCTTGCCAAAGATGGAACCACTGGAGGCAAACTTCTTTGTCTCTGGGGCCTGCTGGCAGCTGGTGATGGTGGAGCCATAAAGCTGGTCAAAGCGTTCCAAGGTAACAAAGGCCTTGAGTTGCTTCTGGACTTCACATTGTACCCCGAGGATAGACTGATGGGAGAGGGCCATGAAAAAGAGAGAGGGAGAGAGTAAGACAAGGGGAAAAACAGACCCCCAAAGCACTGAGAATCAGTGCAAAAGGCGAAGTCAAACCTACAGGTATTTATTAGCTTGTAGCATCTGTTTTGATGGTGCTGACCATCAGAACACCCAGCCATCCTTCATCCATTCATCCCCACAACCTTCTATTCAGGGCCAGTTCAGAGAGCAGCTGCTCTGACCAGGTCCTTTTCTGAGCAGTGGGGATACAGAATGAACTGGACATCACCTTTGCCCTCAAAGAACTCATTGTTTCATAGGCCCAGACAGACATGACAACAATATTACCACCAAATGTAATGACTGGTGGTCTAAAGGATGGAATAGTTAATAGATACAGCAGCATTTCTTGTTCTTCAAGCTCAGGAATTCCCATTCAACACCCTGCTTGACCCTCATAGTAGATACTGTTATTATTTGCAGGTCACTTTTTAATTTTTTGAGATAGAGTCTCACTATGTATCCCTGGCTGACCTGGAACTCACCATGTAGACCAGGCTGGCCTCAAAAGCAGAGATCCACCTGGCTCTGCTTTCCAAGTGCTGGGATTAAAGGCGTGTGCCACCACATTCAGTTTCAAGTTCACTTCTAAGGAAACTAAGGCTGACACAGCTCCTCACGGACCTACTCCACGTTAGTATTCAAACCCAGGTCTGTCTGACTCGGGAGGCCAGTGTCAAGGGCAGCTGCAGCAGTGAGAAGCAAACAGAGCTCAGGAGATGCTCAACCTAACGGTGGGGAAGAGAGGGAGCAGGCAGGATTCCAAGGAGAGGGCCAAGCCCGAATTAGGCCTTCAAGGGTGTGGAGGGTGATGTTAGCGGAGGGATGGCCAGAAATGCATGGTATTAGGAAAGCCAAGCATTGTCTCAGGCCCTCACTTTGTTCTATTGCTCCGCACCCCCATTATCCAACCTTTCCATGAACAGTCTGTGGCCCACAGTGCCTCCTTGGACCCCCTCAAGTATCCCTGCACTTGGCTGCTGTGGGGTCAGGTTGGACCCCGTCGGCTTGGTGTACCATCTCTCTGGCCCTCCCACTCTCCAGGAGCTCGGGGAAGCTGTGCTCAGGGCTTTAGGGCTTTATCAGCAACTCAGGGCACAGCCTTTAGCAACAGACCCATCAGCCTCCCACTGAAATTAAGTCCTCTTTATAATTAATAGAACCCTGTCTGTGAACAATTATTTCCTAGAGTTTCACAAAAGCCGGAGTGCTCAACAACAAAGATCTCCAATGCTTGCCAAGGGCAGAAATCAATAATTCATTGACAGGCAAGGTTGGCAAACAGGCAGTCAGAGACAGGGACGCTGGGGAGCACCGAAGAAACCTGGCGGGGGAGGAAGCCCTGTGGGGCTGGAATCAGCCTTGGGGACAGCAGATGCTGGGACATCTGGACTCAGGGGCTGGGGTAGTAAGGTCCGGTACAGGCTAGGGCAGAAGGAGGAGGAGCTCTGTGGCCAGGCAGACTCAGGTTCATGTCCTCTTCTGTCATTTCCCAGCTGAACATCCTTGGGTAAGTTTCTCTGAGCCCGGCCCCCTTATTTATGAAATGGGCTGTTTACATGGTTCAGGTGTTGTGTCCCAGAAGCCCCTACAGTGTGCTAGCCTGTGTGTTGGGCACTAACTAACCGAGATGCATAACTTAAGCTGTTGGGATGCAGCATCTAGTGAAGGAATAAGAAAGAAAATAAAAGTTGAACAGAGCAAACCACTTGAGCAGACTCGTTCACAAGTCTGGGAGGCGAGAGCAAAGACGAGCCTAAAGGAATTAATCTAGAAAAAGAAACAGGGACGTGGTGCTGGTGAGCTGGCCCGGTTAGTAAAGGGCTAACCCCACACGCATGAGGACCCCGGTTCAGATCCCCAGCATGCAGGTAAAGAGCTGAGCGTGGAGGCACAGGTCTCTAATCCTGGCAGATACAGGAAGATCCCTGGCTCTGTCGGCCAGCTCGTCTGAATCTGTGAGCTTCTGGCTCAGTGAGAGACACACACAAACATAATCTCTCTCTCTCCAAAAGCTGACTGTATGTGCGCGTGCACTCCCACACTCCCCCCCCCCCACACCATGTATACATGTATACCAAAGTGGAGGAAGGGGACTAGGGGAGGTGGAGACCAGGAAATTTTGCAAGCACAGCATCATGCCAGGCGGCACAGCTGCTTCTCCCAGAGTTTTCTATCCCTGGGCTGGCACCCCATGGAAGACTTGGTTTCTGCTGATCTACTCTTGCATTCCACGGGCTGCAGTACAGAGCTGGACACGGAATCTGCTCCTGGTATAGGATTCATGAATGGAGGCTGAGTTGGGGATTAGCAGTGCATGAAGTGAGCAGCAGGTGGGATGAGACTATGGTAAACAATCTTTCCAGCCATATAATTCCAAGTCTTTGAAATCTGGTTGAACAAGGAAGATTTTTTTTTTCTTTCCTAGTCCTGTTCAGCCAGATGACAGAAAGTAGACAGATCTGGATTTGAATTGTCTCATGTATTAAACCTGTACAATGAGAAGAAGACCAGCATGGTATATTTGTGAGCTAACTTAAGTACAGTGTCCCTCAATGCAGGTGCATCAGATGCTCAAAGAATATCACATCTGGACTCAGAACACGCCTCTCTTAGTGCTTTTGCCTGCAGAGTGACAAAGGCCTATTATTTTTTGTGGAACTCTAAGCTTGGTGGACCACACAAAACTCCTTCATACAGCCTGTGAGTGTCCATGTGCTGCTCCAGCTGGGTCCCTGGGGCCTGCTTAGCTATAGAGTTGCTGTTCTCTGAAAGCTGTCTGGCAGGAAGCATGAGGGTGCTGCCTCAGTCTCCATTGCTGGCTCGAACTTTCCTGCAGAGTTGGTGGGACCCCTCCTTTAATGTCCGAATGGCCTGAGGTGTGGCTGTCGTGTGGGGAGGAGTTACCTTGCTGTTGTCCCATTCCTGAGTTTTCATCTGTGTGTGCACGAGCTCGTAGGATGGTTCCATGGCATCTGTGTCTGGTTTGGGATAGCCAGGTATCACGTTGTGTAGCTGGAATCCAAAGGTGAGTAGCCAGCTGTTGACATCTGGGTGGAGAGAAGCAGAAATATGCCTAGGGAATAAGTGGACTTTTGCCCCGGGGCCACAAGTGGGAAGTGACTGGTGACAGGGCTGACATTTACATACACTGGGAAATAATGTCCTGGTCTTAAGGCCAAGTGTGCTGCTGGGCCCCCAGCAGTCCCTCTCCCAGGCATATGCCCAGAACTGTCTTCCAATGGGTAGAACCAAGAGAGGAAACCCAGGCAGACAGGCAGAACCCAGGCTTCCAGAGATCTCTTTCTTCTCTCTTCCTCACCTGCTTACCCTGAGGTAGCTGCTGATGGATGAAGCTCTCCCAGGCCTATCCTCACCCCCAACATCAATAGGAAACACTTGCAAAGGTCAGAAAGGATTTTAATGGCTGCCTTGCAAAGAGAAAAACTCACTCAAGAAACAAACTGCCCCACTGTCTTTGTAGCCATTTGAACCTCCTGGCCAACGTGCCTCTGGGCAGGCGCTGGCTAGTTCAAAGATCAAAGGGCTCTCCTCTCGCTACTGTCTTTTGTTTCTAACAGTACAAGGAAGTCACCAGACCTCCCAGTGCCTTAGCCTGCTAGTCTCTAAGCTTACTAATCACATTCCTTGGAGTTGCAAGTTAAAGACAAGGTATTTCGGTGAGCATTTGGCTCACTGAAGAATGGAGTCCGAAATCTATGATCCTGGGTTGGGGTGTAGCTGAGTTGGTAGAGTGCTTGCCTAGCACGCATGGAGTCCTAGGTTCAGTCTCAAGCACTACACAAATTGATGCCTGTCATTCCTGCACAGAGGAGAGGGAGGCAGGAGGAACAGAAGTTCAAGGCCATCCTTGGCTACATAGTGAGTTTGTGGCTAGCCTGGGCTACATGAAATCAATCTCAAAACAAAGCCAAGCCAAGCCAAGGATGACAACAACAAAAATCCATCCATATAATCAACCAAATAAAAAACTTCGAAAGCCGTGACCTTAGATGGGGGTCGAGGTGGGCTATCAGTCACTTGGCCCATGTGGCAGAGAAGGCCTACTTGGCTGGTAGATGCGGTGTCCTCACAGGACCCCAGAGGGAGATGAGACCTGGGCCTATCTGTCTTTTAAATATGATAAAAATCAGACACGGGTTAGGCATGGCATTGAAGCCAAACAGTGAGAAAACCATTGTCTGCCTGGCATCCTTGGAAACGGAGGTTGGTACTGTAGGCAAAGGCTGCACGAGGTGAGGTGCCCTAGAGGGGGCAGCGTGGAAGGAAGCAGAGTGGTTCTTAAAAGCTGAGGAAGAACCAGAAAGGACAGAGCCTGGGGTGGCAGGAGAGAGGCGATCCGAGCCTTCCTGGAGGTAGTTTGTGCGGCAAGGCGACTCAACCTTCTTTGGGAAGGGGCGGCTGAAGATGCTAAAACACTCCTCAGACAGACTCAGAATCCAGTCTCAGTGGCAGGGGGTGGGGTGGGGTGGGGTGGGGTGGGGTGGGAGAGCTGTGCAACGTTTTAAGGCCAGCCTCAGAGCCAGGTGCCATTTGTTTTCTTTCCAGTGGAAACACATCTCTGTTGGGAGGTCCTGTGGATGACCCAGGCCTAGGAGGAAGTGATCAAACCACCACCCCCCCACCGCCCGTGGGGGGTCAACAGTCAACAGTGTGTTCTTGACACTGTTGTGACCCATGTGTCTCTCCCATCTAAGCATCTCACATTTGTCTGTGCCTCTTTGGTTGTTGCTGTTTTAAGTTGTCCCAGGCCCCTCCACCGGGGACCCAGGTTTGTTCTCACTTCAGCCTTGCTAGGCAGGCCACAGAAGGGAAAGAGCATGGCAGCTGGGGCCACACAAACCCACCTGCTGGCTCCTCGCTGTATAATCGTGAATTTGGAGAGCTTGCTTAATCCTCAGGGATTTAGTTCCCTCGTTTGCATACTGGCAACAGGAATGGCTATAACTGCTCTTGGGGGAGAGCAAGCTTATCACTTGGAGGTAGTTATTGCAGAGTAGCTGTTCCAAGCTTGGGCCTAAAACACTGGGTTGAATTCACAGTGTCCAGATCAGGTACTGGTTTCTGTCTTTGTCTATCCCAAGACCCCCATTTTCTCATTTGTAACAGGGGGGCTTGGATGACTTCTCCATGGCCCTTTCCTCATTGAGTTTCCAGAAGTCTCTCATTCCATGATTCTTGGCAGATGGATCTTTGGGAATTAAAACAAGCCGAACACGGGGAGAGAACACCTCACAAAGCCCTTTTTCTTCAGGCAGAGAATGTGCATCGGGATTTGTGGTTGCTTCTATCTGGAATAGCGCACATTCCCAGGAAAGCAGGGGGCACGGGAGAGGGCTGGGCTTTAATTATGAGTGATGGAAGATGGGAAGCTTGCTATCACGTCTTTTAGGAAAATGTCAGAGATCTATTTGTTCACTCGCTTTCCTACCGGGCTTTTCTGAAGCGCTGGGAATTGTACTCTTATAACCTCAGGGGCAGGCTCTCCTTCCTGTTGAAAAGCTGGGCTTTACCTGTCAGTCCCAGAAGTCACTGCTGCCGGGAGGGAGGGATAAAATGCAAACGATTTGAATCTCTTTCACGTGTGCATAGCTTTGTTCTTCACAGAATGTATTTGAATTAAAAAAAAAAAAAAAAACCACTAAGCATTTGAAGTCCGACACCGCAGAGTTCTGAGGCTTGCCTCCCCATGCCTTTGTGGGAGGGTTGCTTTACCCGTCCTGAACTTCACTGTCTGTGGCTGTGTTCCCCACCCCACACATCTCGGGAAAGACTCAGCATGATGATGTGTGAGACATACCTGTGGCGGACATGTTAGGGTTGCCTCCCTCCCGGTGATCCAATTCTACCTTCTTTCTCTGGGGGTGGGGCCGGGGCACTGATGCAGCAATGGACCATGGGATCCAGGATAAGCCAATCAGTGTATTCTGTCCTCCACAGCCCCAGTAACTGCTCCATTGTCACATGACCCAGGCCTACCTTACCAGAGCATACCTCAGGACCTGAAAGTATGTTTGGGAAAAATAAGATTTCTTTGTTGTTGTGATGTGAATGAGGACGCACTTAGCCCGCAGAGAAGATAAAAGGTGAGGTGCAGTGAAAATCAGTAGAATCTGAGTTTCCTGTTTGCCACTGCAAATCATGTCTGATGGTCTGAAAGTCTGAGTGTTTAGACAACACATATCTCTCTTTTTCATATGCCACAGGACCCACTATATAGGTAAAATCAATTTTGGGGGTCATGATCAGTATTTTCCTTGAAGTGGAACAGGCTAGATTAGAAAATATATAGACACCAAACTTAAGGACTGCTTTGCAAACCTTTGGTTTTAGTGTTTCATCGTGATATTTAAAAAAAAAATCTTTTTTTTTTCTTTTTTGAGATACGTTCTCATGTATTCAGGCCATGTAGTCAAGGATGACTTTGAACTTCTGATCCTCCAGTCTCCACCTCTGGAATACTGGGGTTACAGGTGTACAATTAGGTGCAATACCACACCTAATTTGCTCAGTGCCAGGGATGGAGTCAAGGGCTTCACGCATGCTAACAAGTGGACGCTCATGCCTGTTCAACCAATGGAGCTACATCCCTAGCTTCAAAATTCCTTTTCCTAAGGTGGGCTCAAAGACATCTGTGAAAAGTGGCATGAGTTCCATGGAGGCAGGCACGAAGCCTTCTTCCCTGCTGGGTCCTCAGTGTGAGCCTGGCACAGAGAAGGTATAACTAATATGATGTTTGTTGGCTTTAACTGTATGGGAAATGAAAGACACACTGAAAATGCAAGGAGCCCCTTGGACAGTGGAGAGCTGCGCTAAAAAGCAGGCTCCAGAGACCAGTGTGATCATCATGGGAAACGCTCTGAAACCAGAGAGCCCTGATCTGTGTGATGCTCCACAGACCCTTGGTCCTTCAGAGGCTCACGGGCCTCATCTGTAGAGTGCAGAGAATTGTTGTGATCTCACAGGGTTGTTGCCAGGCTTAAAGGAGACGGTGTCTCCAAGTGCTTGGCAAAGAGTGTTCAATCATCCAGTGCTATTCTGGGAGGAGACTATATGCATATGGTAGTGTACAAAGGGAAAGGGGGAGGACGATGATACTTTGGCAAGCTTTAACAATTTTTTTATGGAAAATTACATTTCCTATTACAGTATTTTTTTTTTCCTCCAGCTATAGTAACATGCCAAGATGTCTCACAGGAAACTCACTAGAGGGTGAGGCAGGGGGTGTGCTTTGTGCAGACAGATGTAATGGAAATGTCACCCTAATCTGTCAAGTCTCTCCAGCAGCCAAGTTGAGCATGGGAACACTGTCAAAATATATGTATTTATCCCCAGCCCCCGAGGATGTTTTCGTGACACCTGAGCACCACCGTGTTCTCCCTTCTATCTGTGTGTTTGGGATTCTTCCTCTTAATTGAACAACCTAGAATGTTTCCTGGAAAAAGGAGCCCTCCTGTTGCTGTCAGCAGAAACAGGATCCAGGTGAGGCCATCAAGTTTTAGGGTGAGTGAGCAAGACACGATGCCCTTTCTCCAGTTCTGCATATTGACCCCAGTCTCCTGAACGTCTTTCTTCCTGCCAGCCTCCGGGATCAGCTATTCCTTGAAGGCTTCCCAGAACTCTGTGGGGAGAGCCAGTTGCTAGTCTTCTGTGTTTTAATGGCCATCTGTGCAAACCTTCCCCTCACACTGGACCACAGCGTGCATTTCCTCTGAGAGTGGGGATTCCTCGAGGGAGGGAATCATCTTTCTAGTCTCAGAGCCTGAACCTGGGGAGGGCATGGAATGAAGGAAACAGACACAAAAGAGGGGGCCAGTGGATTCAATCACAAGATCACCAGGCTTTCTCAGTACAAATTCTCCTCACAAGTTGCAGGCTGGCTTCATTCAGATCCCATAGAGATCCCTATGTGACTTGCTGGGTGATTGTAGCCGCCTGAGATGTCTCCATCTGAAGGACCTACAGGACACTTTATTTGCCAGCTGGTTTCAGAGAAATGAAAGCTAATGTTCCCCTTTAAAGCAGAGGGTGAGGGAAAGGGAACCAGCATGAGCTGTGTGAGGCATGAAATGCGGGTCTCGCATTACCCTTGCCACTAAGCTTCTGTTTGTTCCATGAATTAATTGTTTCTTTTTAATCTTCCTTTATTGCCTGCTTAGGATGCATATACATATGTATGTACACACACACACACACACACACACACACACACACACACACACACACACACACACATTTTGAGACATAGTGTTGTGTATCCCAGGCTAGCTTCAAACTCACTGTGTAGTCAAGGATGACATGGAACTCTTGGTCCTCTGCTCTCCACCTCCTGAGTGCTGGGATCCAATCTAGTGTTTTGTGCCTGCTAGGAAGCACTCTGCCAAATGAACTATATCCTCAGCTCTGGATGGTTTCTTAATCTTCTACTTTATCTCCACGATTGCTGACTTTTTATTATTATTATTATTATTATTATTATTATTATTATTATTTTTTTTGAGACAGGATTTCTCTGTAGCTTTGGAGTCTGTCCTGGAACTTTCTCTGTAGACCAGGCTGGCCTCGAACTCACAGAGATATGTCTATCTCTGCCTCCCGAGTGCTGGGATTAAAGGTGTGTACTGCCACTCCCCAGCTGACTACTAACTTATTAATGATGTCTATTTGTGCCTGATTTAGTTTTTTTTTTTTTCCTTTGAAACTGGGTCTCCTACAGCTCAGACTGGCCTAGAACTCTTGGTCCTCCTGCCTCTACCAGACCCCCAGATTATCTGCTTTAGTTTTAGGTTTTTAATGATTGCTCTAGGGTAGCATATGAACATTAATTCAACCAGAATAAGGATAGGTATTCTAACCGTTTGATTTGTTTTGAGACAGGGTTAGGATCTTATTATAGCCTGGCTGGCCTGGAACTCATTGTGTAGACCAGGCTAGCCTTGACCTCACAGAGACTTCTGCCTGTCCTGCCTCCCAAGTCTTGGGATTAAAGATATGCACTACCACTGCCTGGCTGAGACATTAGGATTTTATGGTGAAGTCATTTAGAAAAGTTATAGGTAAGTATACTAAAGAGTTCTTTTTACTACAGAACCTCTCAGAGCCTTCACAAACTGAAATATTATAAAACGAATAGATTATGAAAAATTAAGAATGTGGTCCTGTCAACTATGTTTGATGATGGATCCATTATTTCCTGAGTAGTCTCCAAACTAGTTTTTCTTTAAATAGACTTTGGCAAACAATGCTATTAGGGACAGTCCGTGTCTCCTGCCACCCCCTAGCAGCTTTCTCAAGGAGCAATGGGGTAGGTCCTGACCTAGGGTGTACCGCAGCCCTTACCTGTCATGAAGCACTTGATGTCCTGAGAGTTGCTGATGGGGTTGTTGTTCTTAAACATGTAGAGATGAAAAGGCACGATGCTGCTACTACTCAGGCGTTTCCAGAGTTCATGGTCTGGGCTCGTCCAGCGTCCAGCCAGCACATCATAATCCCGTCGGCCCATGTGGACAAGCTTGGTGAGCGGATCATAGAGGCCGCCGTGGTAGCCGATGATGATCTGGAAGTTGGGGTTTGTGTCCATGTAGATCTCCCCATAGGCTGTGTACAGGATCTGCTTGATCATCAGGCCAGTCCCACTGAAGACAGCAAGTGGGGTCCCGATGTTGTCACAAGCTATGTAGAACTCGTCGCCACTGCTCAGCTCCATGGCAAAGAGGTGTCCCTGCAGGTCATAGTAGAGGGACGTGATCTCAGAGCTGGAGTGGTTGTAGAGGTGGGTGACCTTGGTGGGGTTGGTCAGGTCTGCATAGAAGAACTGTAGGTGGTGACCGTGGCTGCTCTTGCTGGATACTCGCCGCCCCAGGCCGTCGTAGCGGTACCTGACGCTCCAGCCGCTAGCCCGGTTGTAGGCTTTGATGAGCAGGCCAGCTGAGTTGTACTCGAAGACATCCCCACCCCGCTGCCTCAGGAAGCCATCCTCGTCCATCTTGTACTGCACATCACCCAGCCTAGTGATGCGGTCACGGAGGTCGTACCGTAGTGGCGTGAGCCGTGCACTGTTCCCAGGGCTCAGCAGGTGTAGGTTCCCATTGAGGTCATAGCTGTAGCGCCAGAGCGGCTTGTCATTGATGGAGACTGTCTGCAGCTGGCCATCAGCATCGTACTCATAGGAGTAGCGGGTGGTGTTGGCATAGGGCCCCACCTTCAGTTCCTTCTTCACTACCCGTCCCATGTTATCATACTGAACAGTCATCCAGTACATGAGTGACCGGAAAATCTCATACTGTACTTCCTTCATCCTGCCATAAGCATCAAAATGTTTGGTGTGGGTCATGACAGCTGTGGTGATGATCTGGTTGATATCATAGTAAATGACACCAAACTTCCCAAACTGTTCTGTCTTCCCTGACACATCATCGTAGCGGTAGAGATCGATGGGCAGTGGGGTCTCGTTGATCACAGCCTGCATGCTGGTCACACGGAAACTGTTGTCATAGTTGTAGTCAAAGCGGGCGTTGACCATGCCTTCCTCTGTGAAGCGGAAGATCTGACGGTCAATCAGGGGCCCAATCTGACGGTAGCGGATAGTGCAGGTAAAGCCCTCATTCTGAAGGTTGACGGTCTTCAGCATACCTGCTGTCTCATCATAGGTGAAGCTCACCTTGGTGGTGTCATACAGAGTCTCGGCCAGCTTTGACAACTTGCCATACTTGTAAATCACCCTGCGGCCAGTGCCCAAGTAGAAGGTGTGCAACAGGTGCCCATCCTCGGTGAAGTCCTGTATGACGGAGGCATTGCCTTCCGGGGGTTGGTAGATGTTTCTGTAGTAGCCCACTGAGCGAATGGTCTCCAGTGTCTGCCTGGCGACATTGGGCATGGTCACGGAAGAGAGGCGGTCATTCTTGTCAAACTCGAAGATGTACTGCCTCTGGCTGTGGAGGTGAAGCACCATGGACTGGAGGGAGAAGAAAACCATAGATGAAGGAGGTGAGAGAAGGGATGACAACCCAAGTACCCACTTGTCCTGGATCTCGCTCTGCACACCAGGCTGGCCTCAAACTCAGAGATCTACCTGCCTCTGCCTCCAGAGTGCTGAGCTCTAAGGTGTGCATCACCACCTCCCAGCTGGTAGATTTGGTAGCTAGAGGTAGGCTTGTTATCTGGTGCCTTTCCAAAGGCAGAATATTCACTTTATGCCCCACTTCTCAGTTCAGAAGTGGATGGAAGGCTGAGAAAAGTGGTGGTTTTGCATTGTGTCAAGCAGAGCATTCCAGCCTGTGCACCAGGGGTTGTTAGGGAAGTGCTGGGGCTGCGCTTTCTCTCAGCCTTTGGCCTTGCAGGGTCCGCTCAGGCCGTTTGTTTTCCTCTTGTGAGCAAGCAGCCTGCGTGTCTGCTCTTTTGTGCGGTATGGATCAGATCGCTTCTGCATGTGACTGGGTGCGAGACTGGGATACTCTGGCCTAAAGTATTTGTGACAACTTCCCTCCTGCCTTCCCTGACCCAGACTTCTGACCTCAGTCTCTCTATCCAAGTGAGAAGGAACGCTCTACAACACACCCTGATGGTCTTAAATCCTGGCAGCCTTTGCCTGCTAAACAGCTTCTTTGGCTTCCCTGTGCCTGTAGCATAAAGATCATGTCTGAGAAGGGCACTTTAGACTTTGCCCCACCTTTTACGTAGTAGGGAGTCATGGGCCCACCCTGGGGCAGGCAGGCTGGGATGGGAAGGGAGAACCTGTTCCATCATTGCATTCACTGTGCGACACTGGGATATTCCGTCTTCCCAGGCATGGCTTTGCAGTGCATGGGATGACTTCCACAGTCTGTCCCATAGCCCTACAACAGAACCTCGCTCTCAGATGTGCCCTAGCACAGGTAGAGACATTTACCATAGGACAAGCAGAGCCTGGGGCCCTGAACAGGTGCCCAGGGCAGGAAACAAAGTGAGGATTCTGGATCCAGACGTGGGGCATAAAGCGAATATTCTCTCTTAGAAAAGCCACCAGATAACAAGGCTGTATCTAGCTATCGAATCTACCAGGTGGCGCACGCCTTTAATCTCAGCACTTGGAAGGCAGGGGCAGGCAGATCTCTGAGTTTGAGGCCAGCCAGCCTGGTCTACAGAGCAAGTTCCCGACAGCCAGGGCTACACAGAGAAGCCCCGTCTTGAAAGAAAAACAACCAAAAAGCAACACCACCCCCTCAAACAAAACAAAACAAAACAAAAACCTACCATTCTCCTTCCCCCATATGAGACCAACTTCTGAATTTAAAAAATTATCCAAACATGTTTAGGATTTAGGTCATTTTTGATTCCTAGTTTCTGAATGAAGTGAATCCTGACCCAAAGTGAAGGGGATTTGCTAGGCCTACACCTGGTATTAGCAGCAAGGGATTAAGTTTGCCTCAGATCTGACCTCCAGGCTTCTGCTTGGATCTCTAGTGTGAGGTCGCCCTATGTGTGGTGATCCTGGGAGCAGGAACCCGTCCTGTGTCAGCACCCTCCTGAATCACACCACCAAAGTCTTTCTTCAGAGTCCAGCTAGGATGGGCCTGCTCTTCTCCTTCAGCAAGGCTTTCATGTTTTCCTGGTCTAGGGACCTCCTGCTCACCACACTAAACCCATCCAGACACCTCCTGGGACCCCCTTTCCTTTTGGAAAATGGGCATCTCCCCCTTTGGAAACCACAACAGTCAGATTTATCCCCCTGAGGTCAGCAGTTTAGGCTTGGCCATGGGGAGCAATGATGAAAGCCGGTTTAGTGGTGAATGCCTTCAGCTATTCGGGAGGCCAAGGCAGGAAGGTCAGTCTAGGAGCCCAGGAGTTCAAGCCCACCTTGGGTAGTGTAGTGGTACCCATCTTAAAAATTAAAGCCACAATGATCAGACTTCTATGCATCGAGGCCATTGATGGAGGGAGACAGATACCTACCTTCTCTAAGTATGTGTAGCTCCACACCTTCCCATCTGCAAAGATCCGGGATGTGATGCGCCCTGCCTGATCATACTCCATTCTCTCAGACATGATGCCCCTTTGGATCCCGGCAATGTGACCCCCAGGGGAGTAGGTTACATTAACACCATTCAGCCTGCTGCTAGGTGACCAGAGGCTAGGCCTCCCTGCCTGGTCATACAGGATCCGAAGGGTGAACTTGCGGTGGTCATCATAGATCTTCTCTGTGCGTGTTACGCGGTCAAAGTCCAGAGACAAGAGGTTTCGGTTGTGAACCTGGGAAAAAGATAAGAAAGCGAGAGACTATGATGTGGACATCGGGGACCTGGCTCTGAGGACCAACAACTGTGTTGAGCTCCTGAGAATAGAAGGCAGTACAGGTTGTGGGTATCAAACCTCACTCTACCATCTGTTAGCTCTTTGAGGTTTCCTGATCTGTACAATAGGAAAAAAAACACTTCGATGGCCTGTTGTAAAAATAAAGATAGCATGGGTGATGAGCATACAGTATTTCTGGCCGAAGAAGACACATGGTTTTATCATGTGATATATCAAAGCGGGACTTAATTAAAAGAAGAAGAAGAGGAGGAGGAGGAGGAGGAGGAGGAGGAGGAGGAGGAGGAGGAAGTCAGATCTTTCTTAGCTCCATCCTAAAAACAGAACTCCCAAATGGACCTGGCAAATCAACACCTGACCCATCTGCTCTGTGCCCGACGCTGTGCTGTGTTGGATTCCAAGGTCACCAAGCTCAGGGAAGCGGCAGATCTGTGGACTTCACTCTCACTAGTTCAATAGATACTTGATGGTTTTCTGAGCAAGCTCTAGCAATCCTGGGGCTCTATACTTGCTGCTTTTTGGGTCTCTCCTGCCTTTGCCCACAGTCAACGCTTCTGGGTCACCTGCTGTCTCCCAAGACATCTCCTGTTTCTCCTCAGAGGAGGCTGGGAGGCAGGAGCATCACATCTCCAGTGGTTTCTCTTGTAGTCTGGTTGGAACCAGTCCTAACTCTACGATACATTGCTTCTGCTCCAGGATCAGGAGCTCCATCTCTAGAGCCTCCCTGAGGTCTGTCAGGCCACCACCCACTCAGTTTCCTTTTGGAGTCGGAAATACAGACTCCCACAGAGGAAACTGCAAGTTGGAGCTAGCTCTATGTGTGTGTGCATGAGAACAGAGGTATGAGTGGGGATACACAGGGACCTGGAACTTTCTGTTTAGGCTAGGCTGGCTGCTCAGCGAACCCCAGGGGTCCACCCTCTTTGCCTTCCCAGAGGATTCCTGATCTGTACAATAGAAATTTTTTTTTGTAGGATTACAAACATGTACCACCATGTCTGTTTTTCGTGTGTTCCCCCCACCCCCCACCAGGGGTTCAGAGGAATAAACTCAGGCTGCCAAGCACCTTACTCATTAGCCATTCCCCCAGCTCTCCTGCTCCATATTTTAATACAGAAATGTGCTCTGGAGCCCCTGGATTTGACCCCTAGGCACAGTCTGTCCCCAAATGTCAGCAGGTTCTTCAAAGCTAAGGCTTCCTGCTGGGGGTGGGGAGGGGTGCCCGCCTGACAGGGCACAGGGGCACCTTTGCTGTCTCTTCTACTTGTCATTCAGTAAGTTTGACAAGCAGGAAGACCCAAGAGGAAAGGAGGTAATTAGGTCACACGATGTAAAATGGCATGTGTGCCTCGTGGAAGTCAAAGGTCCTTTGGGGATCTGTATGTTTAGTAGAGGGTTTGGATATAGGCAGGTGCCAGGGTTAAGGCTGAATTTCAACCTCGACTATGTGACTGGCTTTTCTGTGTGACCTTGGTCAAGTGCCTTTACTTCTCAGGGACTCAGATTCTTCCTGCGTTTACTCTTAGACTCAGGAGTAAATCACCAGGGGACGGCTGGGTGCCTAGAAGGCACCGGATAAATGGCCATAATTATTTCTACTAAATGACAGCACATGATCATGGTCGGTCCTGGAGGAAGGAGAGGTGTGTGTGTCTTCCCCCACTCTCCCATACAAATGTCAAGGCCCCGAAAATAAGGATTTATAATGATGATGCTGAGACGGTTTTAGCTGTGAATGGCCTGGTTATAATAAGCTTGCCTTCCCTAGGGTAATCAAACACAATTGTAGAAGCAAAAACCGTGTGGCAGACAATTCCTGAGAAAAATCAGAGGTGTTTGGAAGCTCAACCCGTGTTCTTTGCAGAGAGGGTACAGGAAAAGAGGGGGCCACATGGCTGACAATGGCGGGCACCTTTGAAAAGCACCTTTTGGGAGATCCTTTTATACCCCCAGTGTTGGTGCCACCTAGATAGCCTCCCTCACCCACAAGGACCCTAGTGAAGAAGGGGGATCTATACCTTAGTGACAAAATTAATAAAACTGAGTCGAGCAGTTCACTGGGGGAAGCACCTTGTGTTTCCTGTGCTCGGCAGTGGCGGCAATGAGATTATTTTACATCTTTCTTTATTAAAAAAAAATTCCCAGCTGTATAAAAAATGAGCTCCATTATGGGGAGGCACACCCGGCTAACATTCTCATTCCACACACTGCCACTGTGGGTGGCCATTTATTTTGGGAGGAAGCAGAGATGTGACCACCCGACTAGAGTATCATCTATCTCCGGCTGGGAGAGGGACCAATTAAAGCCTGGGAAACTTCTGGTCACGTTCACAAGGTAGAGAGAAACTCCTAATGGCACTAATCACTGCCCTTTACTGAGCACCTGGGATCTGCAGCCCTGGGCTAGGTGCTTTGAATACATCATCTCCTGCATCTGCAGAGGAAGTTTAGGCTCAGAGGAGTTGCTGGAGGCTACACACGAGGCCCAGTGGGAATCCAACCTAGGTCACACTTCCCATTTGGCACATTGCCTCAGATGTGCATTGAAGGGCCCTTGAGAATGCAGATGAGGGTTTAGTGAGACCACAGATGGTGTCAGGGAACAAAGACAGCTAGGCCTTCCACAGGAACTAGTCGGAGGTTTCCACACTAGCTAGCTAGCTACAGAATTCTTGGCTGTTGAGGGCGCAAAGGAAGCCTGGTTTGGGGAGGCTCTAGGTTCTGCTGTTGGATAAGTTGCTTAACTGTTGTGCTTCTGATGTGGATCTATTCCCCAGGATTTACAACCATCTAGTTTTATGAGTCTGAAACAACTACTTATCTTCTGGACTTTGCCCCATGTAGAAGATGGGAGCATGTATAGAAACTTTCTTGGTTGCAAGGCAGGGGGGATTCGAGAGGCCACTGTCACTCTGAGGATTTATGTGGCTCACTTCAGCTCAGCAGCTGTCCACTGAGCACCTGTGTTCTAGGAGGTCCTGGGCAGAAAGCCAGGCCCAGGTCACCAGCTGTCCCCCTGTGCGGCCCTTGGTTTCTGCTTTGTAGTGCGCATTGCTGGGCAATCCGCTGGATAAATACTCAACCGCTGAACTGAAGCTCCAGGTCCCCTTAACCCCGGTTTTTCTCTTTGTTCTCACGCTTTACCACCCCGCTAGGCAAGTGCTCATCCATATCCTCCTCGGAGTTCCTGCTTTACCCTTTGCTTTTTGAAACTGGGGGAGAGGGAAGGCTACTGGGCAGTGAGTGCTGGGCCCAAGTTTCACTCTACAGAGACATGGGGGTGGGGGTGGGGAGGAGCAGACAAGGTGCTCAGGGCTCCACATCCTGAAAAATGCTCCAAAATATCAGGCCTCCACCCTCCACACCAGGAACTCCTCCCTCAACAGCGACAGCTATGGCAAGGTCATCCTGATGGGCAGGGTCTTGGTACAGAGGCAGGATGGCCTTGAACTTGCGATCTTCCTGCCACCACACTCAGTCCTTTTGATCAAATGTGGCTTATTTTCTAAAACTTGGGCATGTATTAGCAGTGACAGCAACACCACAGCAATAAGGACGCCAGCAGCAGAGTTTGCTGATCCCTGAGGAGTGCCAGGCTCTGTGGGAGACACTGGGCATGCCACTGCTAATCCCCGAAACAGCATGTAAAATGGGCTTTCTCTTCCAGTGACTGAAACTGGGGCTCTAAGATGACTGACATGCCCACGTTCAGCCATGGAATAAAATAAGTTGGAAACTCAGCCCAGACTCGACCCTAAAGCCAGCCATGTTCCCGGAAGTCGAAACTGAAAAGGATGTCCCACGGCCTTTTGTTACCTGTGGTTCATGGTCTCTGGTCTCCCTTTGGCAGATGAGGAAACTGAGGTTTCAGGGGGAGTTTAAGAGATGGAATCTGGAGCTGGGCGTTGGTGGCGCACGCCTTTAATCCCAGCACTCAGGAGGCAGAGCCAGGTGGATCTCTGTGAGTTCGAGGCCAGCCTGGGCTACCAAGTGAGCTC